GATGCTTTCCTGATGCGCCTGTGCATCCACACATGCCCGTTGGACTCATCGTAGAGGGCCTCACCCCCACCAGGCTCATCACGAAGCAGGTGCACTTCAAACGTTTCCCGCTGGAGCCATGCACGGGCCCCCGAAGATTCCAGGGAGAAGAGGAGTGGCCTTGGGATCCAGGAGGCCCCCACGTGGGTTCGCTGCAGGGGATGTCACCTTTTCGATATCGATGTCACATCCAGGGATGCGCACTGTGGGAGGGCCGCGGGGCCCAAGACGGTCAAGGCCCCCTGGAAACGATTTGGGCTCGAGAGGCTCGTCGGAGGTATTCGGAACGAACTACTTCTTGGATGTCATTTCACCCGCTTGCTAAGAGGACCCTCACCCTGTCAAGAGGCAACTTGGGGAACCCAGGCAAGGCCAAGCTCAAGGAGTGGTCCACTAGGCCGAGGGGCATGGCCCCGATCTTAGACCGCAACTCCGCCCACGAGGTCGGCCAGCCGTTCGTGCTTGACTTGATTTCAGCAGTCGAGTCGGCTCGCGAGGACGCAAAGAGGCAGTTTGAGCAGCTAGATACGCATGTCGACTCGTTGAGGGGCCAGGACTCGAAGGACTCGCTCGCTCGATGGAAGGCCTGGGCTTCGGAATCGGCGCAGAAGGGGGGACGTGCTGCTCACGCTTTCTCTCGGAAGTCGCTGACCGACCGCAGCTGCCAGTTTTCTGTCCCCGTCGACGAGGTCGACCTCCCGTTGAACGGGGATGAGGCCGCCCAGGCCTTGTGTGACCAGTGGATGGCGCTCTGGTACCAGGACAGGAGGAAGGGTCAGGACCATCCGTCAACGTGGGACGTGAGGGGGGCGCCTTGCCGCCAATAGAGCTGGACCAGCTCTTGCACACGTGCCGTGGGGATGCCGAAGGTGCAGGTGTCGGATGCGACGCCTTCCACCCCAAGCTGGCCCTGCTGCTCCCCCAGTCCTATCAAGTAAGGATCCTCGACATACCCCATGGGTTCGAAGGGGGCCCTGAAGCGCTCTCAGACCTCCTCACAAACATCATCTTCCTGGATAAACCTGATGGTGGGGCCAGGCCGATAGGATTGTTTTGCTTTTTCATGAAGGTTTGGTCAAAGTGCCGGCAGGCCCTCTGTAAGAAGTGGGAGGTGGAGCATCCCGCAGCAGTTGTTTGGGGCGCTGGCCCCGACACCACGTGCGAGCGAACTGGATGGGTGCATAACATGCTAGCGCACTTCGGGCACTGCATTGGCACGGCATCGGCGACAGCACTGCTAGACCGAAAGAAATTCTACGAGCACATCACACATTCGGACCTATATGCAGCGGTGGTGGAGCACAAGTTTAACCTAAAGTTATTTCGGGGGCTCTGCACTGTCTATGATGCCGATCGGGTGCTGCACTGCGGTGGGCGTGTCTCTCAGGCCCTACGGGCCAACGGAGGGGTTATAGCAGGTTGCTCGGCTGCGACGACGTTATCACGTTTGTTGCTGCTAAAACCGCTCACTCTTGCTCAGTTCTCCAGGCCACAGCTGGCAGTCAGAAGCGTGATTGATGACATAGCCTTGCAGATTGTGGCGCCCCCGTCCGTCGTGGTCCAACAGTTGTCGAGCGGCACGGAGTCGCTCATCGTCAGCTTTGCAGTGCTCGGGCTGCCAGTCTCAGACAAGTCGAAGCATTTGTGCAGCAGCGCGGAGGCTGATGCGCAGCTGCAGCAGGCCTGGTCACTGCCCCCAACCAGCAGGGTAGCGTCAGCTCGGAACTTAGGCACGGACGTTACCATGGGGGTCTCCAGGCGAGTAGGGATCGCCAGGGCTCGCTGGGAGGGCGCCACTAAGAGAGCTCGGAGGATCGGAATGCTTCGGAAGGCTGGGGCCGACACGGTCTGGAGTTAGAGTCCGGGCCCAACGTCATCGGCCTTGTGCCAGGGGATCCCTCCCTCGCGCCTTCATGCCCTTCGGCTCGGAGCGCTTGGAAGTCTTGGGAAAGTTCCACGAGGAGTTTCAGCAGGCCTCAGGCTCCACAGCTTCAAGGAGGGCCCAAGAGTGGCCCCGCCCACCTTGAACATAGGTGCAGTCGTCTTCCAGTGGGCGCAGGCGGTCTGGGAGCCGTTCCCGAAGGTAGGCGTTCCCCAGACTTGCCTCGAGAGCGCGCAGGCCAGGCTGATGAATTTGAAGGCGCCGTGGGCAGCGGCGGCGGCTCCTGCAGAGGTGGCCGTTCTTTCCTTGCAGAGGATCGGGTGGCAGCTCGACACCAGCACGGTGCTCGTCACCGACCGCGGCGAGAAGCTGGATCTGAAAAAGGCTGCCTCCAGCTCTGATCAAGCAACTTGTGGAGGACGGGGCCGTGAGGGCTTCAGACCGTCAAGCGTTGTGGGCACGGGGACCCCCGGCTCCATGGTGTAAGGCCATCTTCTGGCAGGCGCTGGGCCCCCTGTTGCACAAGGTCTCGGAGACGCAAGGATGGCCCCGTCATCATCAGATGCCCCTCAGGCCCATCATTTCGGGGAGCCATTGGCCGCAGCACAGGCTGTACAAGCACGGCCTCGCAGACACGGGGGCATGTCAGTTATGTGGTGACCTTGATGGGCCCCTCTGGCACAGGGCCTACTGCTGCCCTGCTCATGAGGCACTGAGGAGAGAGAGAGAGGACATCTAGCTTCCTTCCGGCTCGCGTTAAGTCCTGGGGCTTCGTGGTCGGGGAGAGACTCGCCAAGGACATCTCCCCCTCCCCCTTTGAGCTGCTGGAGGTCCCCGAGGAGCCCGAGCAGTCCATCTTCTGGGTCAACAAACCTGAGCTGGGCTTGCTGTCTGGCACGATTTTCACTGACGGGTCAGCCCCATGGGCCGACTACCCCCACCCAGCCCGCCCGGGCTGGGCCGTCATCCAGGTAGATAGGTTCGGTCAGCTAGCTTCTGCGGTCTATGGGCCAGTCCCGCGTGCGGTGTCTCCGCGGCAGACGGCACGCGACGCCGAGGACTTTGTTTGAATATGCTGACGCAGATCGCCTTGCCCCCCTTCGACGTGCATGCCGATCGTTCAGGCACCGTTGGTACCGTTTGGAAGGGGGAGGGCGGGGGCTCGGACAGTGGGAACCCGAGGGCCCACCTTTGGGGCCAAGTTTGGGCTAGTTTTCAAAGCTCCGATATCAGGATGTACAGAACGAGAGCCCACTGCACGCGCGCCGACATAGATGCTGGCGCCACCACTGAATGGGAGCTTCGTGCTAATATGTTGGCCGACGAGCATGCCAAGCGAGGAGCTGCGCTGCACAGGGTCGACAGAACTTTCTACGAACTCTGGCGGGGGCTCGCAGCTTATGTTCGCGAGGCGGCCGCCTGGGCCGCGGAGGTCCACCTGCTAGCTGAAGGCAGGGACCACGAGGACCTGATGGAGCGGTATCTCTCCGCCCGCCAGGCCCCCGCTGCTGCGCCAGCTCCCGAGGGCGAGCCCGACCAGGAGCCGCCCGAGGAGCCCCAAGGAGAGGGCGGGGAGCCTGGGGAGGTGGGACCTGGGTGGGAGGAGTTCGCGAGGATCAGTTTTCGTTTTAGGCAGCACCTGTTGCTGCAAGCCGATGTTTCGGGAGAAAGCCCGTATGTGAGTGTTGTGTTGTTTTGATGCCGTTGTGGAGCGGTCTGCTCTGACGGCAAACTGACCCCGTCGCTCTCGGAGGAGCGTTCTGGCCACACGGGCAAAGGCACTCAGGACCAGCTACGGAGGATTTGTAAATGTCACTTCCCCCATTACAGGAAGGGGGTGAAGGGCCTTCGCCTCGACCAGCCCCATGGTGTCATGCCCGTGGCCCGAGGGTTTCTGCAGGCCCAGGCGGATGCCCTTGGGGCCCCCCCGGCCGCCGCCGCCGCCGCCGCTCTGTCGCGTTCGACTTGGGGGCGGGCGGAGGTGGGTGGGAGGGACGAGGTGTTGCGAGCCTATGGGCTGACGGTCGAGGACCGCCCACTGGCGCTCCAGATGGGGCAGCGTGACATCCAGCGAGCATCCGCCGCCTCCGAGGACTCCGACTTTGAGGAGGAGTCCGAGTCAGGAGGCTAGTTTTGACACACCGCCTTCAGGGACTACCCAAGCCAAGCCAAGCCAAGCCAAGCCAAGCCTCCTCCTCCTCCTCTTCCTCCTCCTCCTCCTCCTCCTCCTCCTCCTCCTCCTCCTCTTCCTCTTCATGTCCTCCTCTTCCTTTCCTCCTCCTCATCCTCGTCCTCCTCCTCCTCCTCCTTCTCCTTCTCGCCCTCCTCCTCCTCGTCCTCCTCCTCCTCCTCCTCCTCCTCCTCTTCCTCTTCCTCCTCCTCTATCTCCGCTGGGACCTTCGGCGCTGCCTCGGGCCACGTCGGTCCTGGAGCACAGTGGGCATTTGCAGGCTCGGAGCTTCGACCGGTTGCCCAGCCTTGGAGGTCGGGGTGTTGAAGACGGCGACGAGGAGGAAGATGCGGGCAGGAGGAGGTGGGCGATGATGAATGGAGGGCAAGAAAGGGGGAGGAGCAGGAGGAGGAGAAGGAGCAGCAGCAGCAGCAGGAAAAGCAGCGGCAGCAGGATCAGAAACACGAAGGTGAGGAGGTATACGCGGGGCAGGGCAAGGATAATCAGGAGGATGAAGAGGGGCAGGAAGCAGGAATAGGAATAGGAGGATGAATAAGACAAGCAGGTACAGGGTAAAGGAGGACCTTGGCAGTCTCCCGAAGATGCCCCCCCGAGGACGAGAGAAGAGGGGAGGAGGCAAGAGGAGGAAAGAGGAGGAGAGAGGAGAGGAGAAAAGAGGAGCGAATGAGGAAAAGAAGGAGGAACAAAAAGAGGCGGAGGAGGAGGAGGAGGAGGAGGAGGAGGGGGAGGACGAAGAGGGTGAGGAGGTGGAGGAAGAATAGAGGACGAGGACGAGAACCTTAGGACGAGGACGAGAAGGCGGAGGAGGAGGAGGAAGAGGAGGAGGCGGAAGAAGACGACGACAAAGACGTGGAGGTCAGCTCGTGCCGTTCGCCCCCAGCACCCGAGGCCCCTCTGCAGGGAGCCCGACCGTGCAGAGGATCAAAGCCTACCAGAGGATGGGCCAAGCTCAGAAGGAGCTCCCGCGCAGAGGGGGGAGCAGGAGGAGGAGGAGGAGAAGGACCAGTGTAAGCCCAAGAGTCATCAACGATGTTGGAATTAGCCCTCCCTCCAAGCTTTCTCTGCAGAGACCCCATACAAGGGTCTATTGCCACTGAGGGAACTGCCTCGTTGGAGGACAACTGTTTGAAGACCCTGAAGCATGCCAAAACATCGTTCTCGGGAGTCCATCGCCACGGATCAACCAGATTGTTGCGTTTCGACGATCCTGAATCTTGCCAGAACATCATTCGTGGGACTTCAACACCGCGAATCAACGTAAATGTTGCGCCCTCATAGTGCTGAATCTTTCCAGAACGCCATTTCTGGTACATTGACCATGGGAACCCGTGAAATTCATACAAATGTTCAGAACGAATGCGCGCGGCGCTTTTTTTTTTTTTTTTTTTTTTTATTTTTCTTTTTTTTTTCTTTTTTTGTTTTTTTTTTCGTTTTTTTACTAGTTTTTACTTTTTTTATATTTCTTTTTTTCTTATTTTTATCTTTTTTCTTTTTTTGCCTTTTTTTTTTTTTTTTTCTTTTTATTTATTTTTTTTTTTTTTTTTTCTTTTTTTTTTTTTATTTCCTTCTTTTTTGTTAAGTTTTTTTTTTTTTATTTTTTTTTTTATTTTGTCTTTTTTTATATTTTGTTTTCTTTTTTATCTTATTTATTCTTGTTTTTTTTTTATTCTTGTTTTTTTTTTTTTTTTTATCTTTTTTTTTTATAAGGCGAGAGCCACAGTTTGAAAAGGAACAGCCTGCAATCCGTGAAACTCTTGCACATGTTTAAAAGCGAACGCACGCGGCGCTAGGGCGAGAGTCACATGTTGAAAACGGGTCGCCCTCAATCCGTAAAGCTCCTGCAAATGTTAATAGCGAATGTGCGCGGCGCTACCGCGAGATCCACATTTTGAAAACGACCCGCCCTCCATTTGTGAAAATGCTGCCAATGTTGAAGCTTCAGAGTTATACATAATGAAGAAGTCTCAGGCGAAACACCCGGCCCGCTCAAATTGGCCTCGGGGTGCGACAGGGAGAAATTGCTGATGAGGAAAAGGAGTGGAGGAGGAGGAGGAGAAAGAGGAGGGGGGAGCATGAAGGGAAAAAGGCAGAGGACGAGGAGGAGGAGGGAGAGGAGGAAGAGGAGGAAAAGGGAGAGGAGGAGGAGGAGGTAAATGAGGAGGAGGACGAGGAGGAGCAGGAGGAGGATAATGCGGGCACGGACTTTTCCAGCAAGAAGGATTTCGGCATGAGTTCTTGTGCCAGCAAGCTCCAGGCTGAGGCACCGTCGCCCTCCCCTCCCCGAGGCCGCCATGCTCGCCTGAGCGTTAATTCATTGTTTAATATGTTTTTCCTTCGCGGGAGTGTCCTTTTCATCGTGTGTAGCTGCGGTTGCCCTCCATCCCTTCCCATTGCGTTGTTCTTTCTTCATGGGCAGACGCGTGCTCTACAAAAGATTCTTCAGGCTTACGCCACATCCGCCGACTCCTTAATTGAAGTCAGTGATCAGATGGTTCGAAACCGTTTGGCGGTCGTTTTGAGGTTCCGGGTTTCTTGGGAGCTCTTCGGGGCCTGAGGGGGGCATCTTTGGGGCTGTTCGGGCTACTCCTGGGCTCGTCTTCGAGCTCTCTTAGGCTTCTTTGGGCTCTTCTTGGGCTGCTTTGGCGTCCTCGTGGGCCGTCTTGGGGCCTTTTTGGGCCCCCAGGGGTGCTTTTTTGGTGCCTCCGGGGGTTCCTGGGGGCAGAAAGCTAGATTTTGTAGATTTTTGGTGGCCCTCTGGGGCTCTTTATGGTGGTGTCTTGGAGTCCTCTGGGGCCGTCTTGGGGGCCTCTTGGGCCGTCTTGAGGCCATCTTGGGTTTGGGCCGTCTTGGGGCCGCCTTGGGCGCCTCTTGGGCGGTCTTGGGGCGGTCTTCGGGGCCTCCTGGGCCGTCTTGGAGCGTCGGAAAGCCCACACGGCGAATGTGTAACAACATATACGTTTTACGAAGGAGATGAGCAAATTGTTGCGTCTACGGACCCTCTTGGGACGCACCTTGGAGGCCTCTTGGGGGCGTCTTGGGCCATCTGGAGGCCATCTCGGGTGTCTTTGATCGCTTCTGGACCGTCTGGGACCATGTGGAACTCTCTTGGAAGCCAGTTGGAGCGCTCTTGGGGCCGTCTTCAGGGCTCTCTTGGGCCGTCTTCAGCCTCTGGAGCCGTCTTGGGCCCCTCTTGGGCTGTCTTGGGGCCCTCTTGGAGGCTTCTTGGACCGTCTTGGGGCGGTCTTGGAGGCCTCTGGGGCCGTCTGGGAGCGTCGGGACGCGTGCTCTACAAAAGACCCCATCGTATTATGCGCAGTCGGAAATGGAAACTTGTGGGACTTGTGCGACCTGGGGACCTCTGTGACATGTGGGGCCTGTGGGACCTGCGACACCTGTGGGACCTATGGAGCTTGTGGGGCCTGCGGGATCTGTGGGACCTGTGGGACTTGTGAGACTTGCAAGACGTGTGGGACCCCCGGCACCGGAGGGACCTGCTAGGCCTGTCTGACTTGCGAGACTTGTCGGACCTGTTGGACGTGTTGGGTATGCGAGACCTGTTACACTTGTAGAACTTGCGGGAACAGTGGAACCTGCCACGCCGGTCGGACCTGTGGTACCTGCGACGGCGGCACTAGGACCTGTGGTGCATGCGAGACATGCGGGGTCTAGCAAAGAAGCCCACGCTGTGGCGGGAGCTGCATTCTGAACAACGGGATCACAGCGCCGATCCGAAAATGAGGCCCACACTGCCCACGCTGCAGCGAGGGTCCATGTCTGGAAAAACTCAAAATTAGCCTGGCGAAGGACCCAACCATATGCAGTTGTGAATACCGCAATTGTGAATACCATCTTCGCCCGCGTTCCCTACGTGGCCACGGCTTCCCGCCGGAGCCCGACATGCTCAGGAACACGTTCGTGGCCGTCTTCGCGGGCGCCGACGACGACAAGGACGGCGTTCTTCTGACCGAGGAGCAGAAACAGGAGAGGGCTTTGAGAGCCATGAGGAAGGAGGTGGCGTTGCACGTCGACAAGGCGGAGTACGACGCCCAGGCGCGGATGTTGAAGCAGCACAACTATTGGGCCACGATGTTCGTGAGGGGTGTGCCGACATGGCCCGAGGCCGCCATGCGAACCCTGCCACTGGCGCCTTCGCTGGAGCCCTTATTGGGCCACGATCCTCGCGAGGGGTGCCCCTGCCATCGGCGCCTCCGGTGGAGCTCCCCATGGGGCCACGATCCTCGGGAGGGGTGTGCCGAAATGGCCCGAGGCCGCCATGCGAACCCTGCCGCTGGCGCCTTCGGCGGAGCGGAGCTCCCTAGGGGGCCGCGATCCTCGTGAGGGGCGTGCCGAAATGGCCCGAGGCCGCCATGCGAACCCTGCCACTGGGGGCCTTCGGTGGAGCTCCCTATGGGGCCACGATCTTCGTCAGGGGTGTGCCGAAATGGCCCGAAGCCGCCATGCGAACCCTGCCACTGGCGCCTTCGGCGGAGCCCCCTATGGGGCCACGATCCGCGTGATGGGGTGCCGAAATGGCCCGAGACCGCCGCGCGAACCCTGCCACTGGGAGCCTTCGCTGGAGCCCCCATCTGGGGCCACGATCTTCGGGAAGGGGTGTGCCGACATGACCCGGGGCCGCCATGCGAACCTCGCCTTCGGGAGCCTTCGCTGGAGTTTCCCAAGGGGGCCACGATCCCCGTGATGGGTGTGCCGAAATGGCCCGAGACCGCCATGCAACCCCTGCCAGTGGCGCCTTCGCTGGAGCTATCATGGGGCCACGATCCTCGTGAGGGGTGTGTCGAAATGGCCCGAGGCCGCCACGCGAACCCTGCCGCTGGCGCCTTCGGCGGAGCTCCCTGCGGGGCCACGATCTTCGCGATGGGTGCGCCGAGATGGCCCGAGGTCGCCACGCGAACCCTGCCACTGGGACCTTCTATGGAGCCCCCTAGGGGGCCACGATCCTCGTGAGGGGTGTGCCGACATGGCCCGAAGCCGCCATGCGAACCCTGCCACTGGGGGCCTTCGGTGGAGCTCCCTATGGGGCCACGATCTTCGTCAGGGGTGTGCCGAAATGGCCCGAGGCCGCCATGCGAACCCTGCCACTGGCGCCTTCGGTGATGCTCCCGACGGAGCCGCGACGGAGCCACGAAACGCTGTACTGGGTGGGTGAAGCGCAGGGAGGAGGGGGAGGAGCGCGGGAAGGAGGAACGCGGGGCACCGTCTCTTCAAAACGAGGGCCCAACACCACAGGATAGCGGGGGACAGTCGAGAGGTAGAAGCCATATGGAAAGCCAGTTCGCGCGAATCCCGCGCGTTAGTCAGGACGCGGAGGGATTGAAGTGGGGAAACAAAAGTAAAGCCCAATCGCACAAAACATCGGTGTAAAAGATTCGAACGCGGATGGGGGGCGGCTGCTTTCAGGATGTAACGGGGGAGGAGGAAAATAATATTTATAGTGTGAAACTGTGGAGAAGGGGGAGGTGGTGGAGGAGGACGTGGAGGACGTGTATAAAACAAGAGTCACCAACGATGTTGGCATAAACCCCCCTTCCAAGCTCCCTCATAGGCCCCTACAGAGTTGCATTTCCATTGAGGGAATTGCCACGTTGGAAGACAACCGTTTGAAGACCCTGACGCATGCCGAAGCATTTGTTCTTGGGATTCCAACGCCACGGATCAACGTGATTGTTGCGTTTTGGCGGTCCTGAGTCGTGCCACATCGCCATTTTTGGGAGTTCAACACCGCGAATCAACGAACATGTTGCGCCCTCACGATGCTGAATCCTTACACGGCACAATTTTTGGTACGCTGATCATGTGAATCCGTGAAACTCTTGCAAATGTCGAAAACGATTGCGCGCGGCGTTAAGGCGAGAGCCACATTTTGAAAAAGGAGCCGTTTTCAATTCGTGAAGCTCTTGCAGATATTCAAAACGAATGTGCGCGGCGC